GGGAGGGAGGCCGGGCCGGGGCCTGCAGGGGAGCCGCGGATGGGGGTCTCTCCTCTCCCCGCGGCCGGGGCGGCGAGAGGAGCTCTGTGTGGGCCCGGGGGCGGGCGGGCCGGTAGCGCGGGCCCCGTCGGGTGGACTCTGCTCTGAACCGACTCTGTGCTTGGTCTGTGCTTTTCTCTCCCTGTTCCTCAGCCCGCGCTTTGGCTTCACTCGCATTATGGCAACCCGTACGGTGCGGTCAGCAGCGACAAGCCCTCGGTCCGCTTGGTGCCGTAACGTACCCCACGGCGTGCGCGCCGGGCCGCGGAGCTGCCTGCCCCTGCGCTCCTCGGGGCCTGCTCGCTGTAGTTTGCTTAGGCGAGCGGCCGTGACTTTGCAAGGAGCTGCTGAGTGCTGAACCCTCTCCTCACACGAGGAAGTATTTTCCCTATTTTGCGTATGAGGATCTGAAGCAAACTGCCATTAAAGGACTTGCCTGTGGTCGCACAGGAAGTCCAGGGGAGAGCGGACTTTGCTTCCTTTGCTACAGAATTGCAGCTCGCAAAAGACTGCAAATCAACTCTTTAAAGCAGAGAGGTGTGTGTAGGAAATGAATGTTTGGGCTGTACAGGTTGATCTTAGAAAGATGTAACTTAGAAATGTGTTGAACACCCATGTGTGAGGACTATGGTTTATTCTTTCCATGTCTTCCAGTGAATGTCTGAACACATGGAGGTGAAAGCATTTCTTAGGTTGACGTTTCCAACTGAAATATGCTAGGCAAGTGGCATTCTTAAGAAGGGTACTTATACATTGATGGAGAGAAAATGCCGTTTAGTGTGGAGGCTGCTTAAATGCTGCATAAATCATATGAAGCTTGCTGAATGCATGCACATCATGTAGCTAATCTGTGTGGGAATCACCTGTCCTGGGGAGTGGTACTGGAGTGGTACCTCCTCAGCTGAAGGATCACCTACTGCTCTAGTAGCAGGCTGGATAGCAGCCGAGTGTGTGCTGGTCTTCATCTGTGATCTCTCTCTTCCCTGGTTCCAGTAGGGGTAAAACTGGAGCCAGATGGTCTTGCATGGCTGAGCTGACAGTATCATCCCCTGATGGTCCTCAGATGCAAGAGGACTAGGTGTGTAGAGAGAGATCAGACAAACCTGAAAATGGTGTATTTAGGAAAAGGAAGGTGGGAAAGTATCAAGTTTTTTGGTGTTATGAGTCCAGAAACTTGTCTGTTCTGTTCTCCCAAGTGATTCAGCTGGTCCCATCCAGTGGCTTTGGGTTTTCCAGCTGCAGGCACAGCTGGTTGGAGATGCTGCCCAGCTGGCTGGTATAAGCAGCTCTGCTTTTCTTGGTCTTTGCAGCACTGTGGAGCAGTCCATGGCTTTCCTTTTCACCGCTGGGGTTAGAGGCTGACCCATACAGCCCTGCCAGTGCCACATTTGTGTTGTGAGTTTCCAGTTCTCCAGACAGAAAGGCCCGTGTGGGTGTTTCCTGTCTTCTGGATCTGCAGGGAGCTGGCTTTGTGAATGTTCATTTGGGTTGCTGTTTGGAGCTGTATTAGGGAAAACTGTGATGCTGAAAATCAAGAAAGTGAGTTCAACTGTTCAGAAGTGATCTCCTCCCAAAAGTAAATTTAAATGCAGTTTAGAAAATAAAAGTAATTGCTCACCAGCATCATGACACCAGAGGCATAGAAGCAACAAGATTGTTGGATGCAATGAGCTGGAGAGTTGTTGTTGGGTTTTTTTTTTCTTCTTAACTAATTTTGCCTGTAATGCAAATAGGGATAGAAGTGTTTCCAACATGATGCAGTACTGCAGATGTTCAGTGCCACTCCAGATCATCCTGGCAGTTTAGACATACTTGTATTCCCTCTTCCATATCCTGAATGTTTGATTCATAGGTAGGTAATGGGTGTTGCACCATATCAAACATGCCATGCTCTTTAGTGGCTGTTAAAGCACAAGCTGGAGGCAGTGTTGTCATACAGGTGTTAACACAACAGTCCATGTGGAATTGTCACACTGCAGCTGTGTCTTCAGACATCACAGAACATGTGAGGGATGCAGCCTGCTCATGGGGAAACATCTGAAATTGACTAATGCCCAGTATTTCAGTGTTAAATAGTGGACTGTTACATTTGTCTCCTCCCTTATCTAGAATAAATAAAGAAGGAACTGATGGGCTAAGTGAGGTCAGAATCCAGTTTAGACTTCCTACTAAGAAGTTAAAAGGAGAATCTGCTGTTGCAGCAGTGCAGCAAACTGGGCCCTTTAATCTGGTCTTTACAGATAAGAGATTTGGAGGCAGCTTGTTGAAGTGGAAAGTAGCTATAATTCAGTGGGGGGTTGTTCTCAACAGCCCTGACAGGTGTAGGTCGTGTGGCACAAACTGGCCTTACAGAAAGCCACTGCTTGCTCCTCTGGAGGCAAGGCAGGAGCTGCTTGTGTACCTTGCAGAGGAAATGAGTGACCTCTGTCTGCCTTTTATTTTGTTGGATGTATAAGGTCCTTTGTACTTCTGTGAATGTCAAAAGGGTGGCTTTAAAGATGGACGCAGATGTCTCCATGTGGTGCCTGGTGCTGGTGGGAGCAGGCACAGAGGCTGCCAGTAACGGCTGTGTACTGGTCTGGGTAACTGAAGTGCTCTCTAGAAGTCAGTTGCTGCCCAGTGTGCTGCCATTGGCACAAAGCAGGCTTGTTGTTTTATACATATCTGTTAATTTCTTGTTTCTAAACTCTTTTGTCTTGTCACTAGGCTGTTCTTGGGAGTTTATTGCACTCCAGTAGGGATCAGTTCTCAGAGTCGAGGAGTTAGAAGTGAGATTTGAGATAAGTGAGACCCATTCGGTGCTGCTTTGGACACCTCTGAAGGGGAAATGGAGTTATCAGGATTGAAAAAGAAGAGTTTGCTAGGACTCAAAGAAAATAATAAAAAATCCAACACTAGGTAATAATTCTGTCTGAATTTTCTAGGCTTAACAAAACTGGGGGTTTGTTAGGGTACTAGGGCTCTCCCAGTGAGGGTGAGGAATCGGAAGTGTAACTCTTCCTGAGTGAATATCTGTATGTGAGAATTTCTGTGTGCTACAGCTGTTTCCTCAAACCTGCGCTGTAATGTAAAATATTTTCCTTTTTCTAAAGAGTCCAAACTTGCCTAATGCTTTAACTCTGGAGTTTTGGTGATCTGGAGTTACATTTGAAGTTCTGTGTTTTGTGTTGCTGTTCTGTGCTTTGTTGGGTTGTGTGCTTTTTTGGTTTTTTGGGGGGGAGTTTTCTGTATTAAGCAACATCCTCTGCAATTTGTTCTTGAAGGGCTCCCTCACCAACCAAGCGCAAGGATAGGTCTGAGGAGAAATCAAAGGACAGGTCTAAAGATAAAGGATCCACTAAGGAATCTGGTGAAAAAGATCGTGGGCGAGACAAGACCCGCAAAAGACGCAGCGCTTCTAGTGGGAGCAGCAGTACCAGGTAGTTATTGTTACAGGTAGTAACAAATCAGAGTTTTCAGAAACCAGCAGCTTTATTTCCAGTATATTTCATTCCTTGTGTCATGGACTTGTTGCAGGTTTGCTTTGTATTAGTCACAGTGCAGTTTGTCCAACCTAAAGGGTTTATTTTTTTAGATATGGATTTCCTTTGGCTCTCTAGTGAGCCATGCAGCATCCATATTCTAGCTCACAGGTGCTCTTGCATAATTACCATAAGTTTGTCAGCAGTTCTTTTTCTCAGTACCTTTTTTTTTTTTCTTCTCCCCATCCCCAACAGATCCCGCTCCAGCTCAACTTCCAGTTCAGGGTCCAGTTCCAGCACTGGTTCTAGCAGTGGCTCTAGCTCTTCTTCTGCCTCAAGCCGCTCTGGGAGCTCCAGCACCTCACGCAGTTCCAGTTCCAGCAGCTCCTCTGGATCTCCCAGTCCCTCTCGACGGAGACATGACAACAGGAGACGCTCCCGCTCCAAGTGAGTTTCATTGGACTTCTAGGAATTACCACATGATGGGCTCATTTTCCTGGAAAATACAAGGCTGTGATCACAACAGATTTTTTTTCTAAGGACCATTGCCTTTCTTTGTAACTTAGAGATCTGAATTTTGTTAGAAAGAGGGTCATGTTTTTGCTTACAATCAAAACATGTGCTCTGTAGAAAGACAAATTAAAAACCCCATTTTGAAGAGTGATTTTAAGTACTGCATTTTACTGCAGCTTTAATCAGTGTTTCCCCAATAGTATGAGATGGTGTGGCCACCAGTTTTTTACTGGAGTAAATCTCCTTGGTTCCTGTAAATTACAGCCAAGACTAACAGAAAACACAGGGCTAAAAATGGTGTTTATGTGGGCATATTTATTCTTATGTACAGAAGAACAAATTGGGAGGCAAAGAGGCAGAGGAAGCATTTTTCCTGTAAGGATAGGAGTGTTAATGTCTGCAGTTTTTTCCTTTGGCTAATTCTGTAAGTAGAGTGCTGAAGGCTGATAAAATATACTTGAAGTATTATGAACTACTGTGGTTTTCTGTAGTGTATTCCTCAATTTAAGGACAGTAACTTTAGGAAGAAGCATAAATGTAAATTTTCTGCGTGCTGGGGTTTGGGAGATTAAAACGGCATACCATGGTTTTTCAAACTGTGAGACTTCCAGACCTCTGTAGTGAACAGAAGATACAGAAACACAAATAATCAGATCCATTAATTTGCCTGGTTGTGGTGTGCTTTGGTATTTATGTCCTAATTTTGCCTCTTTAATTGTTGAGGCAAAGGCTGTTTTTTGTTTTAACAACTGAGAAGTTCTTTAACTATGGCAAACAACTTTGAAGAAATGTATCCTAAATGTCATGTTTGTTACCTTAGTTGCAGTAAAGTTGAAAACTCCCCCAAAATAGGCTCTCAAATTCCAGAAGGCTTTAAAAGCAAAAGCAGACAAGGCAGGTGCAAATCCTGAGATGTTCCTAAGTGAAACACACCCACACCACTCCAGTGCTTCCTAACTTGTAACTTCTTATGAAAAAAGATGCCTTCCCAAGAAAAAATGGTACTGTTTTATCATGTGTTAATGAATGGCTTCTTGGTTTGTCTGACATGTTCCCTGAAAACCCTGGATGTTTTCTGTTGGCACCATCAGGTCCAAGGCACCCAAGAGAGATGAAAAGGAGCGTAAAAGGCGGAGCCCGTCACCCAGACCCACAAAAGTGCACGTTGGAAGGCTCACTAGGAATGTCACCAAGGTAATGGTGTGCTCCCCTGTAATACCAAGCTTGCCTCTTTCTTCTGAGGATGCATGAGGAGCTCTTCTAAATCTCTCAACACTTGGTTGTTGCTAGAATGCTGCCAGGATGTCACTGGTGGAAATTGTTGCTTTGTGTCCAAATTATTTGGCAAGGAAAATTTTGGTAGGATTTTAGTGAGTCAAGTACAGTGCAGGTATATCACAGAATCACCAAGGCTGGAAAAGCCTTAAAGATCATCAAGTCCAGCCTATGACCTAACACCACCACATCAGCCAGACCATGGCACTAAGAGAGACACTGTGTAGTGCTTAAGAGGTCGGTCCACTTAAGTATTCCGGACCTTGTATCCTGCCTTACTAGAAAAAAAACTGCAGAAGTTGGGATAATAGCTGAAATGACCTTGGAAGCATGAAGGATATCTGGAATTTCTTGCTAAAGGACCTGAAGAGAGCTGGGCTGGCTTGAATTGTCTTTACTAGAATGTAGTTTAAGTGTCTTCAGAGGTAAAAGGTTTAGGTTGCTAAAAAAAGTATGTGTTTTTTAAAAAATTAAAAATTGCACCTGAAGGGTTTTCAGCTGAGGGCATAAGTTCCTTTTTCAGGTCCCCAGTAGGATTTTTACACTAGTTGTGCTTCTGTAGCCAGTGTTGACATGCAGCAGTAATACTGCTAGGACTGAAGGTTTGGAACAATCTGAGAAACTGAATGGGCAGCACAGGAGAGAAAGCAGTGGTAATTCCTTCCCCGTTTGGTCAATGGTGTCTTCCTGATGATGGCATTGATTTAAAGCTAATCTAGTGCTGTGTACAGCTTGGATTTACTGCTCTGCAGCGTGGTCTGTGTCCTTAAGACTTGCTCTTTCTCTGTAGGATCACATAATGGAAATTTTTTCCACTTATGGAAAGATTAAAATGATTGACATGCCAGTTGACAGGCTAAATCCACACCTCTCGAAAGGTTATGCTTATGTGGAGTTTGAGAACCCAGATGATGCTGAGAAAGCCCTGAAACACATGGATGGAGGTAGGTATCAAATGCTGCAGGGAGGCTGCATTTATAAAAATCTTTGCAGATGAGGTTGATCTGCAGATGAGTTAAAGGTGATGGGAACGCCTTTGGGGAACTGATCTGAAATACTTGTCTGTTTTCAGCCCAAATGGCTTTGGCTTTTGTGTTGCTCAGGGAAGATCCAGGAAATGCCAGAACTATTAAAACTGAGTTTTTTCAAAACAATAATAGAATTATTTATGTTTCTGTGAAAATCATTCCTGGTTAATGTCTGAACTGAAATTTGATGGGATATTAAATTAAGAAGTCTATGTATGTGGATTTGTCAGAATAACTCTGTAGCTGGTTATGGGAACATGCTTCACTTGCTTGGGACAAAACTGTGGGTTGCAGTAATAGGATGTGTAGATGTTAGTACTGGAAAATAACTTCCTTTCCTTCTTTCTGTGATTCCCTTAAAAGGCCAGATTGATGGTCAGGAGATCACAGCCACTGCTGTGCTGGCACCACGACCTAGGCCACCTCCTCGACGCTTTAGCCCACCCAGGAGGATGCTGCCACCACCACCCATGTGGCGCAGGTCACCCCCTCGCATGAGGAGAAGGTGAGAGCTTGTGACTGTGTTTCTTTCTTGGTGTGACGTGTTACCACTCAGAAACTCAGCATGGGAACAATTTAATCCTGTTGGACTTGACTCTTCCCTCCAAATGACAGTAATACCTTTGGGGCATAAGTTGAACCTGGATTGTCCTTCTTAACTCCTAGCACCAGGGTGACCTGCTCTGGGCTGCATCCTGAATAGTCTATTAGAAAGGTTCAGAGCTTTCCAGCCTCTTCCCTCGGAGTTCCCTCTACAGAAATGCTTCCAGTTGAGGTGGCAATGGTTTTCTGGCTGGGAGAATGCTCTCGGCAGCCTTCTCCAGCTCTGTGCTTTTCTGCTGCCCTTGCACCTCCTTCCCTTACTTATATCACGGGCACACGACGAAAAAGCTGTCCTACATCAGGTCAGCAGAGCACACCCCAAGGTGGGACCTAACAAGCACACACCCTTGTACAACTTGGGGCTGCCTGAATGTGCTCAGACAGTGAGTCTTTTGGAGCCTTCCTCCTTCCTACTTGGGCACCCTCTGCCTTGGAGATCTGCAGAGACTCTTGTCACTAGTAGAAGTGGCTCCTGTGTGAGCCCCTTGGTTGTTGAACAGCTTACAAACTACAGGTTTAAAATGAAAACTAGTTAATGTGGCACAGATCTGCCTTTTGGTTGTTCTTTAAATGTGCCTTTTCCTGAGGGCTGGTGAAGGTGAGGTTGTGCATTCCCTCCTGGTGGCTGGTTTTCTTCCCAAGTCTATCTCTGATTATCCTGTTCAGGCTCTGTGCCTGGAGCCTTAGTGACATGTGGTACCTACACATTGACTGTGGGACTGAAGAGCTTGACATCTTTGTCATTGACATGGACAGTGGTATCAAGTGCACCCTCAGCAGGTTTGCTGACAACACCAAACTGTGTGGTGAGGTCAGTGTGCTGGAGGGAAGAGAGGCCCTCCAGAGAGACCTGGACAGGCTCAAGAAGTGGGCTCTTGCAAACTGCATCAGGTTCAACCAGGCCAAGTGCAAGGTCCTGCACCTGAGTCAGGGCAATCCCATGCACAGATTAAGGTTGGGAGGGGAAAGGATTGAGGACAGCCCTGAGGAGAAGGACTTGGGGTGATTGTGGATGAGAAGCTCAATATGAGCCAGCAATGTATGCTTGCAGCCTAGAAAGCCAGCTGTGCACTGGGCTGCATCAAAAGAAGTTTGGCCAGCTGATCAAAGGTGATTTTCCCCCTCTACTCTTGTGAGACCCCACCTGGAGTACTGTGTCCATTTCTGGAGCCCGCAGTATATAAGAAGGATGTGGAGCTCCTTGAGTGAGTCTAGAAGAGGGTGACAAAAATAATCAGAGGGCTGGAGCACCTCCCCTATGAAGACAGGCTGAGGAAGTTGGGGTTGTTCAGCCTGGAGAAGAGGAGGCTCCGAGGTGACCTTGTAGCTGCCTTCAAATACCCCAAGAAAGCTGGGGCAGGACTTTTTGCACAGGCATATAGTGTGAGGACAAGGGGCAATGGTTTAAAACTGGAAGAGGGGAGATTTAGATTAGATATTAGGGGGAAATTCTTTACTATGAGGGTGGTTGAGACCCTGGAACAGGTTGCCCAGGGAAGCTGTGGCTGCCCCATCCCTGGAAGGGTTCAAGGGCAGGTTGGATTGGGCTTGGAGTAACCTGGTCTGGTGGGAGGTGTCCCTACTCATGAAGGGGGGTTGGAACTAGATGATCTTCAAGGTCCCTTCCAACCCAAACCTTTCTGTGATTCCATGATTAACTGTTTCTTTGGAGTTAGACTTGCTCTAAGAAATGTCCCTGTCATGTGGAATGTTCCACAAATTCTTTCCCCGAATATCCCTGTATTGCAGGAGTCACAGCTGATCTTTCAGGTGAAGGAGTATGTGATGTGGCATGAACTTGAGCTTTTTCTTGAGGAAGAAGACAAGATTCTTGTCTGTTCTTTTGATATTAAATATTCTTGCAGCTTCCTGAAGCAGAGAGAGGGTAGCCAGGATATTCCTGCTCTGTAATGTTGGAACTGCCTTTTTCCTCCCTGGAGCTCTTTTACTGCGGGGTGTGAGGGATTTTTGGAGGGAGGTGGGGAAGTGATTTTTTAAAAGTTGTTGGTAGATGAGTTGAAGAGTTACTGGAACCTGTTGCCCTTGTCTTCTGACTGAAGCTTCCTCCCCCTGCCAGGTCCCGGTCTCCCAGGCGCAGATCCCCTGTTCGTCGGCGGTCGAGATCCAGGTCTCCTGGCCGGAGGCGCCACCGCAGCCGCTCCAGCTCCAACTCTTCACGATAAAGCAAAAAGACTGGACAGCTTTTTATTTTTTAACTTAAATCCTGTCAGACTAAATATTGTACCTTTTTTTTTATATATATAATAGGTCTGTGGGAGGAGGAGTGAGAGAGAATCCTGGCAATGAGGGTGACCTAAGAGGAGAGAGCTAAAGCTCCCAGCCAGTAGATCACCTTTGCTGTGGAGCTTCTAGTTTCCTGGTATTGAATTGAAATTATTTTAAATGGCTTTGATTTTTTTTCAAAGGCTGCAAAAACATCTTTTACAGGTAAACAGAAGGAAAGATGTTACAGCCAGTTAGCAGGCTGCTGCTTGGTGATCTCTAAATGCTTCGCACGCTGTATAGACAAGCATGTAAATCTTGAGCTGTTTTAAGAAACCCTGCATGGTGAGGCAGGGAGGCATTTACCTTCATCTCTAGGTGCCAGCACAGGATTTTTCAGAGTAGCTGGAGTCCAGATCTGCCCAAAATTTAATGCTGAGTTGTCACTTTATTCCATTAGTTTCTGCAGACGAGGCTCTTCTGTAACATACGTACCAGGCGATCATCACAGAAACCACAGTCCCGCCCACTGAACATGATACTTTAGAAAATAAGCTGGAAATCTTAAGAACTGCTTTGTAGTTGTCCCCGTAAGTGATATATTTCACCTTTTATTAAAAGGTGTTGGTAAAAACTTCATAGACAGCTCCTCAGTGAGATGGTGTGAGTGCTTCTGCTTGTTCAGATCTCAAATTGACAACTGAGCATCAACCCCCTGGAAACTGCAAGGCAGGGAGGGAGGGTCAAAGCTGTCTGGATTAAGCGCGGTTCACACAGGCAAAGAATTTACCACCTGTTGTACAGTCAATACTATAAAGATTTTGTTTTGTTTTGTATCACTTTGTAGCCTTTTGGGCCATGTTGTGTTTGTACTCGTTTAGGATGAGCAACTATTGAATAAAGCAGTAGGGTTGAGAATAACTGCCCTGCCTCTCTCCCTTCTTCAGCCCTTTAGCCCAGCAGAAGGGTGAGGCCGGCAGCTCCCTTTACTGGGGATTTTACGGTAAAACCGGCACTGCCGGATCCCGGCGGGCGAGCCCCGCGCCGGGAGCTCGTGCGGCTTTAAGGCCGGCGTGGGTGGGGCTTCCGCGCGTCACACCCACAGGCGGCGCGGATTGGCTGGCGCTGATTGGCCGGCGCTGATTGGCTGGCGCAGCGCAGGCGCTCCTCCTGTCGGGGACATGGCGGCGGGGCTGGCGGGCGCCCTGCGGGAGGCGGCGGCGGCGCTGGGAGCGGGCGAGGGCCGTAGCTGGAGTCCAGATCTGCCCAAAATTTAATGCTGAGTTGTCACTTTATTCCATTAGTTTCTGCAGACGAGGCTCTTCTGTAACATACGTACCAGGCGATCATCACAGAAACCACAGTCCCGCCCACTGAACATGATACTTTAGAAAATAAGCTGGAAATCTTAAGAACTGCTTTGTAGTTGTCCCCGTAAGTGATATATTTCACCTTTTATTAAAAGGTGTTGGTAAAAACTTCATAGACAGCTCCTCAGTGAGATGGTGTGAGTGCTTCTGCTTGTTCAGATCTCAAATTGACAACTGAGCATCAACCCCCTGGAAACTGCAAGGCAGGGAGGGAGGGTCAAAGCTGTCTGGATTAAGCGCGGTTCACACAGGCAAAGAATTTACCACCTGTTGTACAGTCAATACTATAAAGATTTTGTTTTGTTTTGTATCACTTTGTAGCCTTTTGGGCCATGTTGTGTTTGTACTCGTTTAGGATGAGCAACTATTGAATAAAGCAGTAGGGTTGAGAATAACTGCCCTGCCTCTCTCCCTTCTTCAGCCCTTTAGCCCAGCAGAAGGGTGAGGCCGGCAGCTCCCTTTACTGGGGATTTTACGGTAAAACCGGCACTGCCGGATCCCGGCGGGCGAGCCCCGCGCCGGGAGCTCGTGCGGCTTTAAGGCCGGCGTGGGTGGGGCTTCCGCGCGTCACACCCACGGGCGGCGCGGATTGGCTGGCGCTGATTGGCCGGCGCTGATTGGCTGGCGCAGCGCAGGCGCTCCTCCTGTCGGGGACATGGCGGCGGGGCTGGCGGGCGCCCTGCGGGAGGCGGCGGCGGCGCTGGGAGCGGGCGAGGGCC